AAGGCTTTCGGGCTCTTCCTTCTCAGGAGAGGAAAGAATCAAGAGGGCGTGGAAAGCAGGACAGTGGGCGAAGGCGGTGGAGTTTGGTCGAATTCGCTCTCCAAATCGCACTACTCAGTTGGACCTCCGTCCACGCTTCTTTGCAGTGGTCCGGGCCCGTGGTGTCACAACCCCGACCCTTTGCCGGTCCTCCGGGACCTATTGGGGAATTGTTGGCGACCTCTCTTCATCGAGCAGCATCTCCCACGGATTCCCTTCTGAGTTGGAATCAAAAGCCTACTTTGCAGGCGCTGGCATCACGGAGTTTGACACGTTGGCCTGAGCACCATGGACACCCTCGACACGGGCCTCAGCCTGGACAGAATCACAGTTGCAGTCGACGCCATAGAGCCCTATGTGCTCACTTGGCGCGTTGGAGAGGAAGAGGAAGGGGAGGCAGAAACTACAGTGCTTGCAGTTATGAAGCGAGAAGGGGGAGTCCTACTCGCTATGCCTGCTCTGTTTTTGCCCCAGGATCAAGTAGATGGTGGAAATGCAGAAACCGAAGATGGAGTTCTGGGGCCTTCTTTTGTTGTCAGGGTCCCCGCAGTGATCTACGAGGGCGGCATTTTCTCACCCACAGGAGAGGAGGTGGACGCAATGGTCATAGACTGCAAGAGCGACATTTTGAGGTCAATGCGAAGTTTTTATCATCAAGAAGAAATCATTTACAATTTCGACGAAGATTCTCCTTATGCCTTCCCCAGCATCGACTTGCTGCTCCCCAAGATTCGCGAATGGGTTGCCCAGTCAGCAGAAACCAGGGCCGCCTTCTACACGCCGACAGAGGAAGAAGAAGAACCTCTGCTTATCGGGCCACAGCCCAGAAGAAGAGCACCCGGAAAGGCTTCCTCTTCCGCAAGTGGAGCAAGGCCAAAGAGGATCACAACAACCTCTTTGGCAGCAGACATGAAAGGCCTCAAGGACGTCCTGCCGACAATATCCAAGCAGCTCACCGAGATTTCAGCGCGACAGAGCGTTTTGGAACAGAGAATTGCCGTGCCCAGCAAGACATCGGCTCCAGCTCTTGGCCAGACCTTCTCTCAGTCTCTTGCCAATCCTCCACCTTCTATCTCAGACCTTGCCAGATCCCTAATGCCTCCGCCAAGAACCCAGAGCAAGCAGAACCTTGGTTTGTTGGCTCCCGCAGTGGCAAAACCAGCAGAATTGGTGGAATTGGAGTTAGAGAAGCAGGCAGAGGATCAGACGTCTGGCCAGACCTCAGATTCTGCCCTAGCAAGAGCAGTACTGGCGCAAAGCCAGGCCCTGACAACGTTAGTGGCGCAGATAGCAGGAGCGAGCAGCGACCCAATGTCAGAGCTCACAGGAGCGTCAATGGGGTCAGGGACTCGGGGTGCAGCAACACGAGTCCGCCTTCAAGCAGAGCTGGCTCAACACAGGGGAAGTTTCTTCCAAAGCGTTATGCAGAGCATGTGCAGACGGATGGCCCCGACTTCAAGTGCCGCCCTGACAGCGGAGGAGATGCTGCAGCGCGGGATTTCAGGGGTCAAATACCTGGAAAGATTTGGAGGCTACGGCCGCACCCGCGACCTTGGCCAGCTGCAGTATCAGGTGATGATGATCTTCGATTTTCTCATGGCCGAAAACATCCCAGCGGCGATGGACGGAGTTGCCCTTTTGGCGGTGACGTTAGAACAGGCAAGTTTGGATGGAGGACGAATGGAACTAGCAACTCTATTATGTTTGCAAGAGGACCCACCCTCGAGCATTTTCATGCAAAGACAGCTGGCATCGACGTCGAGGGCGAAGTCCTTCGCACCACTAGCCGATCAACGTTGGGTCACTTGTGCACTGGCTTTCCTGAAAGAAATGGAGGTCATTGCAGTGAAAAGGGCGGAGATGAATGCAGGTCAGAAAGGGTCCTTCGAAACTACATCAGAAGCATCTGCAGCGACTCCCAAAGCAAAGCCAAAAGGAGCCCCGAAGCGAAAGGAAAAGGGGAAAGGCACAGACAAGGCAGAGGAGGCAGATGCATAGGCACAGCAGCATATGGCATGAATGGAGGCAGAATTCAGGAAGCAGAGGGGCAGGAGACAAATCCTCTGTCTTCTCAGTTTGTTTTTTGCACTTGGGCACTTTGTTTGCCTAGGTGGTTGATGAGATGCTGCACAAAGCTTTCGCGGCATCTTTGGCGCTTTTTCACTGCGGAATGGCGAGCGCAACTAGCCTCGCCAACCACAGCATTCCCTCTGCTTGCTCCGGTTCCGGGGTGCTTCAACAGTAGAGGCCTCAGGTTCAAGTGCAAAGGAAAGTTAGATGTTGCGAGGAAGAGAGTGCTTCACGTGATCTCTTCCACTTTGGACTTTTTCTACCATGGCGGATTTCTGACCTTGTCAGAACCTGAGAGGCGACCCAATGCTTTGCAACGAAAGGTCTATGACAGGCTTTGGTCGCTTTTTGCTGTGTGTGGGGACGGCTCTGAAAGTTTTGATGCTGTCCCAGGCCGTTCAGGGCCTGAATTTGGTGCATTTTTGTTTCAACTGGGAAAGTTCCTGGAGAACTATCCAGAGCTGAACCAAAGTTATGTTCGGCACAAGCCAATGACCTTCAGTGAGAACCCGCAGCTCCTGCCCACAGCAGAGTTCCATGAGCTTGCACCCTATAAGTCGCTGAAGGCGAGCAGAGTGAAATTGGTTGGAGCTGGAGCCTGGCCTTTGGCAGTCTGGCGCAGTGGGCCTCTGTGGCTACCTTTTCAAGTGCCTCGTTTTCTATTGCTTGGGAAGCCTGATGACTACCAGGTCTGGCTATCTTTCAAATCTGATGACAAGGATGAGAACTTGCGTTTGGCTGCACTCTGGGATGCAGGGTTCTTAGAGCTTGCAAAGGAGGCCATCATGCGTGACCACGCTACAAAGGTCTGCAATGCTTTCAAGAACGAGGCTGCAGACCGCCAGGTTGGAGACCGCCGGGTCCCAAATTTTAGAGAGTTGTCATTTGATGGCCCCTTCCACTCCTTGCCACCAGGTCTCAGGCTGACAGACCTGTGCTCTGAGCCATACAGGGAGCAGCTCTTGAGTACCGTGATGGACCGCTGTGACTTCTACCCTCAAGCGAAAGTCTCTGAGGAACGTGCCTGCAGCAACATGCTTTCCTTTTTCCATGACGGCGTAGCTCTCAAGAAATTCCAAGCAGTCAAAGAAGTGCGGATGCAGAAGCAAGCGAAGTTTGGCTGGGAGAAAATGTGCAATGGTTTTGGGGAGAGATCTCATGATCAGCGGCCTCAGAGGAAGGATGGCGAGTGGTTTCCCTGGCTTGCACCACTTTTTCATGGTGATCGCCTTGGAGCTGAATCTGCACTGAAAGCGCTTGAGGAAGCCTTTCAGCAGGCCCAGACGGTTTTCAAAGCAGCAGAAGGTGAAATCATCTCCAATGATGAGGTGGTTGCAGCTGGCCTTACAACATTGGTAGCCCCATTGACCAAGAGAATAGCGCTCTCAGCATTTTCTCTGCGTGCAGCGCGCTTGGGCCCCATCATACAAACACTTGCGGCCCGGTTGGCAGGGAGTTGGACTTTTGTGCTGCTGCTTTGCGGAAGTTTGGCTTCAGCGGCTGAGGGAATCTCCAAATTGGGGTCAGAGGCTGAGAGAAGTATGGCCCAAAAGTTGAGTAGCTGGGCCGCTTTGGCTCCACTGGCAGTTTCCAACTTTGCAGTGAAGTGCGACCTGCAAGTCCATGCCTTTGACGCTTCCTTGGGCCTAGGTACTGTTTTTGTCACAAAAACTGAACCAGAAGTGGTTGCAACGCTTTGCTTGAAAAGCGGAAAGTGCGGCAGCTACACCCACTTAGACTGCCCAAATTTGGCTCTTCTTGAGGTTGCGGGCGAAGAGGTCCACGAAGGTTTCGATTTTGGGCCTCCAGAACACTCAAAGAGAGGGCTCTTGCTTTACTTTGATTCTGTGGAGCATTTTGAAAGCTTGGGAAGAGTGTCTGCATCCGTGGAGGCTAGGGGCTTTACAATTGCTCCCAGCTTTGACTTTGCGACCTCCATGCACTACAACATGATCGACAGCCGGTGGTTTGAATGGTGTTTGCATATGACTGAAGAAGGGCGTTTCAGGAGTTTCCTGTTAGAATCGCCCCGCACGAGCCTCAGCCCAGCAGCCCATCCAGCTGTGCGCTCATGTGCCCATCCAGAGGGCCTCAATCGTCCTTGCCCAAAGACTCGATGTGGAAAGCAGCTGGCTTGCGGGTCTTTTGGTTTGCTGCGGCATGGAAGGAGATTCAGATGGCTCCGCGGAAAGGAGAAACCAAAGCTATCAAAGATAGCGTGGGTCGCTGCGTGGAAGGCCATATCGAAGCTGGGGTTTGTGGAAGCAGTCATTGCTAGCTGCCAATTTGAACCCATCCACACAAAGGAGTTTCGCTTCCTCCTCTACATGTTCCACGCACAAATGTTGGAGAGGCGTTGCTTTGGAGGCCTTGATCTTGCAAAGTTTGAGGGTAGCCTCACAAAAGGGTCTGCAGTCTATACTTGGCCACTAACCAGACGTCTAGCTGATGAGTTTACAAGGGCTACGAGAAGGTTGAAGTTTCTTGAGGAGGAGGATGCAATAAATGTCAGCGGCCACAAGAGAGCTGCCGTTAATGACATCTTGCATTCCTCAGCTTGGAGGACTGAAAAGAAGTGGCGCTGGAGGAGTGAGAGCCTCAACAATGTCTCGGAAGTGCATGCTGGCCTCGGAGTTCTGGCAGTAGCCGCTGCAAACCTTCCTGACAGCAGATTTCCCGGGCTTCTAGGGCTTTCAGCAGTCCAACTGCAAGCAGTTCATTTCTACCTCCTCTCACGATGGGCGGTGAACTGGTCTCACCTTGTCATCCTCCTGTCGACCCTTCAGTCCTCGACGAAAGCGAAAAGCCCAGCTTCGCCTGATCCAAAGCCTGATTGGATTTTCAACATCTCCTCAGCCGGCCCTTCCCTTTGGAATTTCCTTGTCGCTCTATTGGACTTTGAGCTTCTAAGCTTTGACTTTGCTCTGCCCTGCGTCCTCATCTCCTCCCCTCAGCCGTATCTTCTTTGGACTTTTTGCATTGGACTTGTAACCATTTTCCTGGCATCCTGTGGTTTGATGGATTTGCAAGGTGCTTTTGGTTGTGGTTGTCCTAAAGTAAAGGGTGCCCCCGGTAGGCTGTTGTGGATTTTGATTTCTGGATTTTGGGTAGCTGAAGCCATGGTTCTGCGGCCAGCCTTGGAAAGAGGACGAGCTGAGACAAGATCAGGCAACAATTTGTTTGCCGCCAGGTTTGCTAGACATGATACACTGGAACGAAAAGAAAAACTGCCGACAGACTTTAGGGTTTGGCTGCATGATCAACACACGGTGTATTTTTCCTTGCCTTTGACTACGGGACCTCCTGACGCTGAAGAGATATGCAAATGGCTCATCAATTGCGGTCAGGAAATGTACCTGTCAGAGGAAGCACACAGAAAGTCCGCCGAAACCATCAATGCAGTGTCAGCAGCGCGTCTGGTAGTGAGAGAACAACTGACAGGCGTTTGGGACCTGGCTCTTGTTTGGTTGACGGACGAGCTGAGTGAACCTTATCCTGCACTCCCACTGTCCAATCTACTGGCGATGCTTGCGTTGGTACTGATGAGGGTCTGGAAAGGTTTCAACAGCCTTTTGTCTGGTGTTGGCCCGCAAACAACAAAGGTCAATGGGCGCCCCCCTTCTGACTTAGGATCGCTCCGTCATGGCGGTGCAACCCACCTTTTGCTGACGACCAAGGACCTAGAACTGGTCAGGCGCAGAGGCCGATGGGTACCTGGAATAGTGATGGAGATCTATTTGCGAAAAATTTTAGATACGACCTTTGCTGAAACACTGGATTGGACATTGCGAGCTAAAGTGATACAGCTTGCAGGAACTTTCCCAAAGCTGCTTAACCTCGCGTTTGCCTTCCTGAATTCAGCGATTCCCCCACAGAAATGGTGGAGACTCTTCCAGGCCAGTGACAATGAGGAGCATGGGGAGGAATGGGGACAGTTGGATGAAGGTGCCAACTTTTGGCTAAATACAGCCGTTGGCGATGGAACCCCTCACATGCAGTGAAAAAGTGCAGGGCGACGTGCTTGATTTCAAGCATGGAACTGAAACTTTCACCCTCAAGCTCCCCCGGCCCTTAACTATCCCGCCCTTATGGCAATGTCCTGGCCTGGGATGAAGGTGCCAACTTTTGGCTAAATACAGCCGTTGGCGATGGAACCCCTCACATGCAGTGAAAAAGTGCAGGGCGACGTGCTTATATATATACATATGTATACACACACAAACTAACTAAATATAGGTATATATATATATATATTTATACACATACATACTCATACATATAGAGAGAGAGAGAGGGCTAATGGTCGACCAGTTGGCGAGGTATTACCGTCTTCTCCTGTGAGGCAGACTGGGTGGCTGAAGGGTAAGACTCCAATGGAAACCCATGAGTTTCACCTCAAAATACCCGGCTTGCTGGCGGAATTACTGTAAGTTGTGGAAAATCCAGTGGCAGGAGAACTGATGAGAAAAAAAATGGTTTTTCTTGGGCTCCCCATGTGGGCCATGTGGGGCCCCACAGTGATTTTTATTGCTCGTTCTTGTGGCGAAGCAGCATATGTTGCAGGTGGTTCTCTCCTGCTTGGGGAAGGTGCTTGAGCTAGCGGAGAGAGCTTGGTTGGTCTACAGGAAAGTGTGAGTTTAGTGTGCAAATATAGAATTGCGATCGAGATCAAAACTCTCTAACAACACATTTTCGGAGTGACTTGGAACATTTTGCCATCCCCCAAGTTGGCACCTCCAAAAAATAGCAGGATTTCCAAAAACTGCTGAGAGATTCTTCTACCGGGTTTTGGCACGTTTGCGGGAGAACCTGATAGTCTACATGTCGGATCCCTATATTTGGATGATTACCCTCAGGGCACCAGAAATTTAATGTTTTCAAGATAGGGAACCGCGGTCCTCTTATAGGACTTTCTTGACTGTCGATACCGGTAGCAAGCAGTCAAAATAGCAACATGTTCACTTGTCTTTCATGCGGAGATGGACATTTCCCATTTTCAGCATGGTCAGTGATTCCAGTTCCTGCTTACTAGCATCTTTTGTTTTATATACCCTCTGGTTATTTAACATAGCCATGGAAAATCACCATTTTTTATAGGTAAACCATCTATAAATGGACCATTTTCCATGGCTATGGTAAATAACCAGAGGGTAGCTATGGGTCCAAACTTTCCCTGTTTTGATCCCATGGGGCCTATTCAGTGAGCAATTCGACGACTAATGAGCTAAACAAGTAAGTAGATGGCCATATTTGCAGGGCTTTTTCCAGGTTTCCTCGTTATTACCCCTTGGTTATTCAACATAGCTATGGAACATGGCCCTTTTCTAGATGATAAACATGATGATTTTCCTATGAAAAACAGTGATTTTCCTGTTCGCATGCCGCAAACCGTTCAACGAACTATTTCGGGTACCATGGCTAGGACCAATGCTTTGAAAATCTGCACCCAAGGCACGGCATGTAAAGGTCGCCCTTGCGGGTCGCCAGGTGGACTACCTTTGTAGCTTTTTCTTTCTGCTGGACGTGATCAGCACAGCAACTCTCCTGTGCCTTGGCGGAGCGATGGTGACGATGGTGACGATGGTGACAGTGTCGGCCAGGAGAACGAAGGTTTCTGAATTTTCCAACAGAAGAGTCATGTTAGTACAGCAATAACATCCAGCATCCCCAATGACTTAGCATTTTTTATAAGTGGTACAAACTTATAAAATCTTATAAACCATGAAACATGGGTGGTTTATGTATGTTTATGTGGTTTATGACATTGCTTTACTAACATGTGACATTTTGAAAATCGCTGACTGTTTCACTGTTTCACCGAGCCATGAGGCTGGATCTCACCTGGATTAGCGAAGCCATCCAGGTGCGACCTGTTGGACCATTTCAATGGTGTCATTTTCGAAATTTTCGAAGAACGCCCTGGAAGAAAATCCTTAGCTGAGTGGTGCTATGCCTGGTTCAGAATCCTGCAGGATTTTTTTCAGTTCAACTCTGGAAGAATCCTGCAGGAAACCTCCTTTTGAATCAATGTACCTGTATATATATAATATATTATATATATATATGTATGTACATATATGCTTCCCCACGAAAACCTGACAGTTTCCTCAAAACTGCAGTCGTTGCAATATCTTGACATTGTGACATCCGGACATTGTGACATCCGGGGTGGGTTGTTTCAATGCCCACCAAGTGGTGCCACAGGTTGGCTAAGTTGGATTATAAGTAGTTGGAGTTCTTGTTGTAGGGTTAAGTAGGGTTTATGGTGGATATATCACTGATAATTATGTCTCTATATATCCACAGTTGGATGGGTGAAAAAGAGTTTATAACTCAGGGTGCACTACAACTGGTATCATTTCTCATTGCTGCGATTCTCCGCTGGTCGTTATCCTTTTTGCATTGGTTCGTTGAATTTTTTTTTCGGGTCTCCAGCAAAACAATCGCATGTTAGGACACAATTGAAAGGTAACATCCTCAATGATTGTCGCTTAAAAGCACTTTTTTTTTTGGGGTACCGGGTAGCCTCCAATTTTGGCTGCTTAAAAGCCACAGTAAACATCAGCTGACTGTGAACAACGCGCCAGGGTGACAATAGCGACGCCTCCGACCTGCGGTCTGGCAGGTCTTTGCTGGGCCTTGAGGGTACATGAGAAATCGATCAGCATCATTCGACCATTTTTTTTACACCTGTTTTTAGCAACTATGGAATTTAGGAATATATCACCATCATCATCATCATCATCATCACCATCATCATCATCATCATCATCATCACCATCATCAACAAATGGTAGATAATAAACTATTATTATCATCCCATCATCAGCATCATCATCATAATCATCAACGAATAGTAGATTATCAACTATTATTATCCCACAACCATCATCATCATCATCATCATCATCATCATCATCCCAGTCGTCATCATCATCATCATCACCATCATCATCATCATCACCACCATCATAATCATCAATGAATGGTAGATAATCAACTATTATAATCCCAGAAGTATTAGCAATCTTTTCTGGAAATTCTATCACCTCGGCGTTAGGACGGCTCGTGTGGGCGCCAGAGCCAGCCGGGTGGTTCGTGTTCTACGGTTAGCCGGGGAAGCCCAGGAGTGAAGATGGACCAACGGATGAAATCGTATGGTTGCCATGGTTGCCATAGTTACCACGGGAATCATTTCATGGATTAATACCGGACAATGGTGGCGAGGAATGGGTTATAGATACTATTGGGACGATCATATAAGAATTGGGTGCCCTTTGGTTACGTGGCGTGCTTGAAAATCCACCATTTCTTAATGATTTCCACAGCTAGACACCTCCATTTTTGAAAGGGGTTTCCAGCCAGCAACGTTTGATGACACCGGAGGGTATTAGGTGTTGACTGGGATGCACATCCAAGCATGGTACCCATTTTTGAGATGAATGGGTATGCTTCATGGGCTTGATTTAGAGATTAGCGAACATCCCACCGCGTTCTGTATGTCAACATTTCCTATCAAAAAAGGTAGGATGTAAACCATCATAGCTATGGACAAGAACTATTTATAATGGATAAATTTAATCAAGTAGAGGTTTCCTGAAATGGAGGTACCCCTAAATCATTTGTTTTAATGGGTATTCCATTATAAACCATCCATTTTGGGGGTACCCCCATTTATGGAAACCCCCAAGTGTAAATGAAGCATCTTCAATAGCCTCTGTCAAGGTAACAGAGGGTTTGTTCGATTCATTTCTGGGAGACCGATGCCTGAGGTGCGAATCTTAAAGCTGTACAAAGCCTACTATGAGGCCCGGCAGAGGGGAATCACACATCGGGGTGCCGCCATAAACCTCTTGGGGATGATTTAAATGAAATGCCATGAACCAAGGTGCAACTGGTGTTTTTTTCTTATTGATGTTGCGTAATGGGACGAGGCCAATTGACCATACTTTGTGGCTGAACGGCCAGATATGTGCCTTTTTTTGGATGAAACGTGCAGGCCAAACAGCGGAAAGCTGAGAGAGAAAGAAGAAAACAGCAGGGTGAATTGGAGGCGCACGCTCAATGTTGGGGAAACCGACAGCTGCGGTTTTTCGGTTTTTCATGGTTTGACTGGTTGCAAGATTTTTCACATATTTTTGAGGCATTGGGGATTCAGCCATGGGTTTAGATTCCCGACAGTGAAATTCCTTTGTCATTACCCTAAGCTGCTTCTTCTGCCAGGATGATTGGGATGAAGCAGACTATGAAGCGCTAGAGAATGGACATACAAGAGATACAGAGAGTGCCTGGGATTCTTCAACGGCCTTGAATCAAAGGACTAGAATGACTAGAACGCTGCCGCCACATTTTTGTGAATCGGGTTCTACAGAAGATTCCCTTTGGGGCTGGTTTTGTAGTCCTGCGATACCCAGTGATAGTACACACAAGAGCAACCACACACACATCAGCTATCATCAGCTTATGTTTTTTGGTTTTTGCAAACACAACAGTACCATTTCACCATGGAAGTTGCATCCCATATTTGGACCTGTTCACGTGTGGTTAGCAAAGTTTTCTAGTCAAAGGTCGAGTTGGCAAAAAATTGTCCGAGATGACCACGCGGCGGGTCATTTGTACGGAGCTGAGATCGCGTTGAAAGGAGTGAGTGAAATTCGTGTGAAACCGCAAAGTGGTGCATTTGTGTGGATTGACAGGTTGATTTATGTTGTTTTTTTCAGCTGGAACTGGAACAAAAATGAACAAAATCATATCTTGCTAAGAATATTTTTTTTTCCCCGCATTTTTTCTACTGCAACAGTTGAGCTATAGTTCTTCTTCGGGCATCCCAGAGCAGTCGCAGGTCTTATTTTGGCCATGCTCCTGTGTCTTCCTCTGCTGTCCAAAGAAACGGTGCTCTGCTCAGCCACTGATTTTTCTTTTTCGACCATCTGGTGAACACAAAAAAAAGGTGAAACCACGCACTTTGCCATGTACTTCTGTTGAATGGAAGAATTTTCACTAGTGGACTCTCTATATGTTATTTCCATTTATTTCTTATTATTTCTTCATGGTTGTCAATTGCATTCGATACTTAAACCTTTTGATTTTGGGTTCTTAAACCAGCGTTTCTGAATCGAGAACTCGCAGGCAGATCAGACGCCCTATAGCGCAACCTATGGTGCCAATCATGTGTGGGAGGTGCGCCTCGGGAGGGCTGATATCATGGGGATTTCCTGGGAATATATATATATATATAATAATAAATGATATATAGGATGTCTGCAACTGTCAGTCAGTCATTCATTCGTTCATTCAGTCATTTATTCATTTATCGGCGCATTGGTTCTTTCATGTCATTGATTTCATGTCATTGGGATCTCAAGAATCATTTGCTCATTCAGTGACGCACCTCACAGCATCAATCTTTCATTGCCGCATTTCACAGACATTCCTATAGGCCTTTTTGGGACGATCTCTTACATTCATTGCGCTGTTGCGAAGTTTGCTATCTGGCGCGGCCAGATACGACTTGTATGATGTGACTAGATGTGTTTGAAAATGGGGCATTTTTTCATGATCCAATGATCCAATTATAACAACTCAAAAGAATGAACCGTAACTGGATGGAATGGGGTAGCCGAAACTTTCAGACCATGCTGGATCTTTGAGTCCAACTGGAAGGCCGAAACGATTCGAATTTTCCGAATGGATCTTGCAGTCCCCGTGAAAACTCCACAATGAAAAATCCACAACTCTAGTCACTAGACATTTTGATCTTCAATTTTTCGGGAAGCTAGTCTTGACATGTCTTGACCAACAGCCATTGCGAGAATCTAACTAACAGAATCTAACAATGGGTGAGATAATCCTTCATTTGCTTGAATGATTGTCCCAGACTATATATCATGACTTAGAGACCATTGTCACAATGACACATCCCATTTGAAGTCCAAACACCAAAGCACAGCGTGTAAAATGTCACCAGGAATTCTTTCCGTCTTTGTCAAAAAGATCGGACAGCCCCACGCATTTTGTCCCCAAACACATACAGTACAAAGGAACACCCCGTTATACATACAGTACAAAGGAACACCCCGTTATACATACAGTACAAAGGAACACCCCGTTATATATATATAATTAATACATATTATACATATAATACATATTATATACAATATTGTATTATACATATATCATATATCATGTAAATATATTTGTGCTTATATAACGGCATAAATCAGTATAGAATGTAGAAAATCTATCCATCACAAATCCAATACCTAGCCATACCCAGCCTAGTTCGAAATTAATTATGACCTATCATAATCAAATCACATAAATTTTCCCAAGTCTTGCTGAGTGCAAGAAATGGCAGGCTTTTGAGGCCAAACAGGCGGACAATAGCACTGCCAACGGCCTCAAGTGAGCCCCGAGTTTGTTGGGCGAAGCGGTGAAAGCCAACCCAGTGATCTGAACTTGCTGGGGTTATACACATCTATAAACATGTATAAACCACTATAAGTCACTATAAAGCACGAAGTAGGGTAAGCAAGGTCAACCACCAAGAAGTTCTTCATCCTTGGATCTTTTTAGCATCGGGGGAAGGATCATCCGCTTGGGGTGGCTAGCGCCAGGTACGACAATGTGACCGCCTAAGTCCATCTTGGGGGCAGTGCCACGTTCCCTATGATTCTATGATCTGGGGGAAAAAATGCTGGTTTCAAGTTTGTATTTTCATTTTGTATTTTCCGTTTTTAATCCCAAACTCCTAAACATCAGATGATGAACACGGTGAAGGGGAATGTCAGGATCCAACCAAAAGCACCCGAAAGCATGGACCCTAAAGGTTGCACATCCCGGGAGGCTGTAGCCTTGTTTGTTATTTTGCAATTTTGGTGTCTTCTGTGTGTGCCCCGCCTGGCAAATTGCCTGTGAAATCCCCACTTTTGTTGGCTACATAACCCGTTTCTGATTGTGAGTTCCTCCTTTTCTTCCGAAGTTGTCCCATTCTTCGCTCAGTGGCTTTAAAAAGGCCACACACTCGACCGTGACTGAGGCACTTCTGCAGTATATCTACTACCATAATTGGTACGTGGGCAATCATGCGGCAGGGGCCCTTGAAACCTTGAGAATGGGCATCTGCTTGATGGGGAGAATGGGCATTTGTTTGATGGGGTGAAGGAAATAGCCACCGATTCTGAAGAAAAATGGGAGACTTCAGTTGAGTTCAGTGACAGAAATAGTGAGCCAACAAAAACACGAATTGACAGATTAAAAAGTGATAAAGAAATGCTAAAACGTTTACTTGTTAACTACATCAGGAAAGCCATCCAGATCGTCACACCTTCAGCATCCTTCACCGCCTCGCTGCCTGACGTGGCTTGTTATTTCCTGTAGCAGCTGCAGGGGCTGTCGGTGGTCGCACCCAATGCTGAGAGCACTTCATCACAACATCAGTCGTCGGCTTCGGCCGCCCTCTTTTTAGGATCCTTCAGTATAACTGGGTATGGGTCAATACCTATAGATACATTTTTAGTGGGATGAACATCCATTTACCAGCTATTTTGTCACGAAAGCTAGCGTCAGCTAGCTGGAGTCTTCTTCCTTTAGCAAGTATTCCGGGGCAAGGACATCACGTGATTTTTCACGCGAAAGGGGGACGAGTGTGATGGACAGTTCCGGCCTATGCGACTTGGACCTTGTAAAAGCAACAAACAACAACAACAACCTTGTTAAAAAAAACAAGAACAACGCGAAATGGCCCCCCCTGCCCCCTCCCCCATATATATCATTGTTATTCATTGTTATATATCATATATCATATATCATTGTTGCATCCTCGTTGGGACGAACAATGCCGCGACCCGATGATGACAGTCCCTCCGCAACTCACCTCTTCCCTTCCTTCTTTCTCCTACCCCGCTAGCTTTCGTCATCCACCCCCCGGCCTCAAGTTTGGGGTTCACTAGGTACCAGGGTTTTGACACACTGCCAACTCAGTATAAGCAAACTAAGGATATTCGATGCCATCGATGCTTGATTTCTTTTGGGAGGGCCTAACAAAAACGCGCAGCACTGGCCGAGGGCACTTACTGCCCTGAGAACAACTGTGCTGGGCTGTATCTAGGCCACCGGAAAGTGGCCCCTAGGGGGGCCCCACTGGGGTGAACTTCTGGGTCTGGTGGCTGTTTCTGATGAATTTCCCTCATCGTTCCACATCTTGTGACAAAAACATAGGTTGGGTTGCTCAAAATCAGGAACCAAGGCTGGAAAATCAAGAATTTAGAACTAGCAAGGGCATTCAGTCAGAATCAGATGATCTTTCCAGGAACCTTACACATCTGCGGCGGGCACTGTTTGCCAATGGATGACAAACCAGCTACAATTTCTCGGATTATCATGGGATGCACATGCCAAAGAATTGCAATGATGCTATGGACTATGGATATTTTAAAGATCCGCATGCTCCGACTCACTAGTCCGACTCATACTTTTAAACTTTCAATTTCTGTCCTTAAATTTAAAGTTCAATTCCCATGCAGACGTCATTCCCATTTCCAACACTATCAGTCATCTTTCGCCTGGGACTTGCCAGGTTCCCTCTTCTGGTTTGGACTTGCAGGCACTGATGACCTGGGTTTTGGATGGGTCTCTCCGGCTTCCAGCACTGAAACTTGGTTCAGTTGCTGCACGGGTCTTGTTTAGAGATGAAGCGACAACTAGGGATAGATCAAAATCTTGGATTGCCCACCAATGGCACGCCACTAGAGATACCTGGCATGTCATTAAATATGTTTCTCCAATGTTAAGATTTGTGGGTGAAAATCCACAGATTCAGGGACTGCTTTTCAAACTAAAGGTCATTTTTTTCCGGCCGCTCCAGGGTTTCTTTCTCCGCTGAGAAAGGACATTTTCAGCGGTTGGTTCACCCTGAATCAGAGCAAATTTGGGATGTTTTTGGTCTTCCAATCCCCATTTGTGGTGGGTTAAAAATATTTTTGGATATTTTGAATGGTGAAACCAAGAATGGAAGGGTCTTAAATTTACGCCATTCGGTGTTTAGTAAAGTAGGTGCAATCAAGACTTTAGGCAACTTGTGTTCTAGTCTTGAAGCAACCATGGGCAAAATTTGATAAACTTTGTACCCCCCATTTTGGGAACAGATTATTGACCTTACCATTGATGTAAATAGTTCAATCCTCCTTGAAGCCTCCCATTTTCGGTTCCCCCGGCCCTTTTCTAGGTCAGAGCACCGATACAAGCTTCACCACTAGCTTAGAGGACATGGGCCATGGGCAAGCAATGCAGGAGTTGACGGTTGACGTTGCAAAAAAGGGTATACAAATGTATACAATAGAAAAGGGGAAGTTTACATTCAAAATGGAGATTGATCAAGCCAAAGCTCGGGATTGCTTTAACCGGCAAAGGAAAACACCCCCAAAATGGTGAGTGAACCGATCGAAGACGACGTCTTCGGAGTGCTGAGCAGACGGTTGCCAAGTAGATGATACCATGATACGGTCATGAAGGTCTTAGGCCGGTTCATCAGATGAAAAGGCTGACCGGGTTGCTCTTGGGTTCCATGTTCTCCATGGCCAAAGCCAAAAGAAGTGCTTTTCACTCGAACTACACTACTGTAGTTCACATTTTTGAAGGTCCAAAGCTGAAAACATGTTTGGATTTTCCAGCTGGTTTTTGCTTGACTTCAAACATAATAAAAGGATATAAAAGGTGGAATTCTTCCAAGAGCGAAACTCACCTTTTTCAGAGATTGGATTCCCGATGAATCCTTGGTCTTTCCCCAAGACCTGAACCTCATGTCTTTCTACGAAGTCTTTCATCCCAACAAGTTGAGGGCCAAAAAGACGTAAAAAGAAACTATGTACATACATCTTTCCACATTTTTAGGTAGCTCCCGTTTTTACCTCAAGTCTTCCGAAACCCATTCCTTTTCTGAATACCCAGCCCACATCCCCATGAAATTCATGTTCTTTAGGATCATCAGTTTTCCGTTTTTTTTTTCACGCAGCCGCGCAGTACACGCAGATGACTTCAGGGGTCCTTGACAGCTGGGTGGGCTCGACCCGGGAGGAACCGACCGAAGCGGAACCGTGGGAGTTGATGATTGGAGCCTGATAGGATACAGATGCAAATCTCTGGTTATGACATTCACAGTTAGCCATGGTTTTTCGATGGCCTTAATCGAAATAGATGGTTTAGCGTTTGTAAAAATGGGGATTTTCCATGGCGAACTGTTAGTCATAACCAGATGGTAGATGTTGTAGTCAATTAATTTGTAACTATGAAATATTTGGGATTTTTCATGATCATGATAGTAGAAATGATTTCTGTAGTAGCAATTATGACAATGAGAACAATGATCATAAGGATGATTGTGATACCAATGATAATACTATGTATAATATATAATAATAATAATATATAATAATAATAATAATAATATATAATAATAATATATAATAATAATAATAATAATAATAATAATAATAATAATATATATAATATGTATATGTATATCTATATGTATATGTATATGTATGTGTATGCGTATGTGTATGTGTATGTGTATGTATATGTAAATATGTAAATGTAAATATGTAAATGTAAATATGTATATGTGTATGTGTATGTATATGTAAGTATGTATATGTAAGTATGTAAATTGACGGGAGTTGACATGATGGGATGTGATTTTCCATTTAATGTAATGCAAGGAATGATGATACAAGCATTGTCGCTTCTGGTACTTAAATTATAGTATACTATATTCATGGACTTTAAGCCAACGGCCAGGATTATCTGACGGCTTATGGCACGATGCCCTCAAGCATCAAGGCATCCAAACTGGGGGAGGTATCAAGGGATGTTTTGGAAAACCCACCAGGAACCTAGAAAATGATGATTAATGAATATTATCGAGTGGAATTTTGGGGGTACCCTCCTGCAAACGTTTACATCGATATGGAAAATCCACCATGCCATTTGTAGACCATTTTCCAGATGGGAAACCATGGGTTTTCCACATAACCTGCGCAAAGCTGCAGAAATGCTAAAATTGCTAAACACAAGTATTATTTTGTGGTAGGATATATATATATATATATTTGCGGCTGCTATATATATATATACATATATATAATGTATATACATATATATATGTATATACATTATATATATATATACATAGATATCTATAATATATACGTGTGTATATATATATGAATATAATATATATATAATTATACAAACTCTCTTTTTCGACCGGAGATTTATGTGGACCAAGGTTTCACAACATTTTGTTGCGAAATCATAAATTTACTACTCTGCTTCTTCGATGAAGGCAGTCTTAGTCTTAGCTTCATATTTCCCTAGCACAACCACTGCAATAAGGCGCATGCATAGCCCCGCTTCAACTCCGAAATTTGTGTCTGAAATCCTTATTTTTGGTTGCTTCACATTCTATTTTCGGTTAGAAATCCCCCAATGTGTTTCTTGGTCCGATCCGATTTTGATTTTTTTTTAGTTATGGCTGAAATCCCCGGTATTCTACCTCTGCGTGCGTCAAGGCCTCCCTGTCAGAGCCCTGGGGCCGGCAGTGTGCCACATCCTCACAGGAGCTGTGATTTCCAACACGGCAGCTTTGAACATCAATGGAAGATGTATACAAAAAAATGCTGTAAATATGGATTATGATTATGATATATTGATATTATGTATATGGATTATGATTATGATATTTTATCTATATGAATTATGACTATGATACTTACTATATAGTCAAAAAATGTGTGTATATATATAGATATACATGGATTACGTATTTGGATCCTATGCGATTTGAACCGACAGAAATTGAGAAATTGGGATTCTACGTGAATGGACTGTAACACAATTGGGGATTCAAGCAAGATGAAATGGGATCTTCAACGACATGATTGTATTCAAAGTTACTCCAGCTGGGGAGTGGGGGATATTAGCCACAAACGGGGGAGTGGAAAAAATGGAAAAAAACAATTGGTGTGTTCCAGCCAAAGAAGAGTTTGAATCCCAGAAAAGATGTGGTTTGAGTATGGGTGCATTCTCAAGGTGCTCGCAAATACGGAGGAACGGAGATTAATTGTAGAGTTGAAAGGGTGTAGAGTGAAACATGTCGATCATGATAGGAAGGAGTAGGAGGGCAAGCATTATTACAGTCTTTCTTGTTGTTTGTTGTTGTTGTGGTTGTGGTTGTGATGGTGGTGGTGGTGGTTGTCTTGGTGGTCGTGGTGATGGAAGTGCTGCTGGTACTGATGCTGCTTCTGCTGATGACGATGAAGATGATGCTGATGAAGATAATATTAAAACGATATGATTATGACGAAGATGAGAATGAGAACGACACACAAGCATACAACTCCGAGCAAACTCAACAATGGAAAGAGCCTTAAATGGCGCCAAAATGCGCCAAAAAAGAGTCCTCACCCTACTCCGAAACGCATCCCCACTAAGTCCTGATTTTCGGAGGACCTTGTAGGTGTCTCCTTGATCGACACGGAAGTGCAGAATGCCAACTACTACAAGGCGACACCGCGGGCAAGTCCGCCTCCAACGAAGTAAGAGCTGCCAGCATTGCTTTCTCCAAAAACTCTGGTTGATTTGCCTTGGTGGCGGCCAAACAAAAACCCTGATTTTGTATACGGATCTCAAAGTAGTGTGGGTAAAACCTCAAAAGTCCCAAAAGTCACAGAGCAACAGCCATTACTTGCAACCCAAAGGCTTATGAATTCGGTGATGTCCCCATCTTTGTTCTTTCCAGACACTTTTTCTTTAAATGCTTGGCTGTTTTTGCAAGTCCTAGTTCTTGTTGGTGAAGTTCAATGCCAATATCTTCTTGTACTGGTGGATCATCATATTAAATCCCAATATCTTCTTATCATGTGGGTAAAACAATAATCATCCACCCATTGAAGTCATTTAAAACGGTTTACACCACCTATAAAAATAAGGTGATTTTGGGGGGATGGTTTAGTATCGTTTTACGCACATGATTCTCAGTGATTGGTCGATTGGCAAAAAAAATATTCGGCGCCTTTCGATCCGCTTTCGCAGATCTATTGCCCCTTAGACTTGCGACTCACGGAGATTCAGGTGCGAAAGTCCGACATCAAATTTTGGATCCAGGAAGATCCTTGGGAGCCACTTTCTTTGGATTCTGATGTCCTGTGCCATGCTAATTTGAGGGTTTTCATCCGTCGGCCTTTCTTGTGGTGTGAAAGATCCCACGCATATTTTCCCTTGTCCCAAGAAATCAACGCTTGCTAGAAAGCTTTCCCTTTTTGGACATCATTGAAGTGATTGGGGGAGTTCAACGATTTTGAATCCACTATCAGCAGCAGATTAGTGCCGTCTCTCCCAGCTGCTCTGCAGGCCTATGCCCCCAGCCTGATGCAACAAGGCCTTGCCAAAGGGTGCAATGGTGGAAAACATGTGGGAAGATGCCACAAAAGGAGGAAATTCAGCGCAGAAACATGGGCAAACATTATGAGTCCTCCATGTTTTTTGGGAGAGTAGCAGCCAGTGGACTGTTGATAAAAGCTAGTGGAGCTTTTGCACTGGTTTGAGGTCCAAAAAACTTCACCAAAGACATGGCACCAAGTCGCAACGGCTCAGCTCTGCACCTTTCACTTCAAAACGGGAGGTCAAACACCCTATCTGACCTTCTACTTTGACATGCGCCCCTTCAACCGAACCACCGCGCTGCCGGGATTCCTTGGAAGTGGGTGGTTTCACCCTCACCTGGGTGCACTAAACGAATAAGATGCCTCATCCTGTAGATATGCATGTTCCAACTATGTTTTTCTGAGCAAGTGTGTGGTTTTATTTTTAAAAATAGGTCTGACATTTCCAGCGATTCCATCCGATACCTATATATTTCTAGAATGGCCTCCTTAATAAAGGGACAAACAAGGCACAAATGACCAGGGGACCATGGCCGAAAAGGAAACGGGGTGGGATATAACTTACCAGAGATGTGTTTCTGAACATCAAGGGTACCCTCTGGTAATTTAACATAGCTATTCAAAATGGCCATTTATAGTGAGTTTTCCCATGAAAAATGGTGATTTTCCATAGCTATGTTAAATTACCAGAGGGTACATTTAATATGGCCAGCCTTTTTTTGAGGCCCTTTTAAGGAAGCCTGGATTTCGTGACCTGCGCCAGCCGGTCCTGCAGCCGGTTTCAGGTTCGGACTTAGCAACACTTTCTTTGTCATGATCCTGCTGGTCACGGCGTCTTTGATGTTCACCAACGACGCAAACCGCTTGGTCCTGCGTCCGGCAGGGGGCCCAAATGGGGGGTCCAAGGGGAGTTGGGCTGTCTGAGACCTACCAGCTAGCTCCTTCGAGCATTTTGAAGCCACCATTTCCAATAGCAGACAGTAGGTATATATGTCAGAAATGGTATCTGAATATTTCTATATGTTTCTACCATTTCAAAGGTTCCAAATCCACATTGATCTCAGGTGGAGAAGATGATCGGCAGAATCGAGGCGCCAAGCGTTCGGAGCGTTCGGACCCTTCGTAATCGATTTGATGGGTTTTGCCAGCTGGAAACCCTCCATTTTACGGGGTCAGGCCATTCGAGACAAGCCGCTCTTGGCGATGAAGATGGCTCCTTTGGCGGAAAAAATGGGGGAAATGGCTACGGGTTCGTACGTGGATTATATGACACTTTGAATAGGAAAAGGACGATAAACCACTGGATGATGTTTCCATCAAGATTTTGATACAATTCCATTTGATGGTGAAAATGATGTAGAATCCATGGATTTTCTGCAAGATTTCCTTGAACAATACTGCAATGGTCATCGTCTCCCTACCTCTCTCTCTCTCTATATTCAAATGAAATGGTGCTGAAAGCGTGGTGATTGACAACCCTCAATTCAGGTGACGTTCATAGACCCTGTCATCCGTTTTGTTGCTCAATAGATTCCACAAAAATTGGAAGGTTCCGTTCCGTTCATTTGGATATACATATTGGGATGTTTTTTCATCCAAAAATGGCTTTGTCTGAAAATGGGTACTTCAAATTTTCATGCTTTGTCATCGTAAAAATCGTCATCATTCTCCCTCTGAACGCGGCAATTTTTTTGGGGGCTAAAGCGATTTTTCAGTTAAGTCCTTCATTTTCAGACAACTCCGCACCACCTATTTTTTGTTACATATCCCATAATTTCATTCCTTGAAGACTGGGCCACTGGGCCAAGGCCGACGACGAATTCAAAGCGGAGGAGATTGCAAAGGAGCGGATGTGCATCACTTGCTGTTGTATGGGCCTCTGAAATTGCCATTTGATAGCGGAAAATGATAACGATCACCAGATGTTTGGGTACCGCATTTATGGACACGCCATTTCAAGTAGCTGTGGTCAGCGACACATGAACGATTTCAAGTGTATGAAAAATGAAGAGATCAATCAAGAAATATGGAGTGTTCTCATGTTTTCTGCCTAGGAGATCATCGTAAATCTAGAAATGATGCAGTCAGCCATCGATGTGATCGGTGCAGTCAGGAACGATTGCAGCGGGCGAGAAAGAAGCCCTGGAATCGAATCTGCTGGGAGCGGGGTTGCTGGAGCTTGCCGTTGTTGGTGAAAATTGGAGCTTTCAATCATCTATATCTAAGATATAGATATATATCTATATATATATCTAAGATATAGATATAGATATAGATATAGATATAGATATGGATGATATATGATGATATATGTATGTATATATTCCGTAGACACTGGGTATCAGTGAACTCCCAGGAGAGACATAGTTTTCTCCGATCTTTTCGCCAGGAGATTTCGAGATTATCTGCGACATCCAGAAATGAGGTGATGGAGACAGTGATTTTAGAGAAAACCATCATCAAGCAGCTTGGCGAAAGCGAAGACATCCATGGCTCACAAATTTTGTTTGGTCCGCCCCAAAACTCTCATCATTTTTTCATTTGTGAAATCGATGGCCGCGATGTTGAAATTGGCGAAGCCCCAAAAATGTGTGTTGCACTAGCAGAATCATACATGTCAATTGTCTATTGTATTTGTCAATGATCGAAGTCATAAATTGGTTTCAGGGAAAACGGATGAGACACCTTACAGATGATGGTGATGACCAGGTCTTCTGTTAAGAAACAAGCCAACTTAGAGATTTTTTTGGATCATTTGGATCATATCTTGATGAACAGGACTAAGAAATCTGATGGTGTAAGCCCATGCTTAATCCCATGGTTAATCTTTGTTGATGGTTAAATCCACCATGGTTTTTGATGGTTTTTGTATATCTATGGTTTTTTATTCGGAATCCTCGGCTCTGAGGCTCGGTTCCTTGCTGGCCTTGGGTTTTGGTGAAGCCGGAGCCGACATCATCGGCACCTGGGATGCCTGTGATGTCGGCAAAACTGGGCAGCGATTTGTTGAAAATGAGGTACCCTCTGGTAATTTTTCATAGCTATTGAAAATGGCCATTTATAGTGGATTTACCTATTAAAAATGGTGATTTTCCATGGCTATGTTAAATAACCAGATGGTAAATATTATAGCATCATTACTTGTGGGTGAATTATGAGGACCTCGCTGTCACCATTTGAGTTATGCTTTCTATTGGAGGAACTGCTATGGACGGCTGCTCACCATACATCTAAACTGCACTGATCTTCTCAATTTCTGAGAAACGCATGCTTTTCCACCAAGGTTGCAGATTTTTTGGTCACATTTTTTGGGTTCCTATGGTTCCCTCCTGGCACCGCGACGAACGACTGTCACGGTCAGGCAAGAACATGAGCGGCTCGGACTCTGCCGGAGTCAACGCCATGGTTCCCGGGCGCAAGTGCGAGTCAGGGCCACGGTGGCCACAGTGCCTGTTTTTTCCGATGGATGGGTCGATGGGTCATGGTCACCCCTAAAACAAGAGTGTTCATGGTCGGCTTTTCAAGCTGAGCTTGCGATTTTTTCAAAAAGATGAAGTCAGTTCAATTTATTTATCAACTTATACTGAGAAACTTATGTAACTTATATTGATTAACTTAATATATTTAGTAATACTGAAACTTATGTAACTTAATGTAACAAACATGTTTCTAAGTGAGTCAGCATCACTGAGCTCCCCGTTGCACTCGTTGCCCAGGTGCATCGTTGGGGTGATGCGGGTGCGCGACTTCAGCACCGCCACGGAGGTGCAGAACGAACTCATTGTGGGATCCGATGCCGATTTTTGGAGTACCAGGGAAGATCATGGTGAAAATCATGGTGAATGATGGTTATGATATGGTTTTTATATGGTTTTTATATGGTTTTTATGATGGTGAATAATCTGCCTTAATGGTGGTGAAAATCACGGTTAACAGTGGTTAATAATGGTGAGAATCATGGTGAATGATGGTTAATATGATGGTTAATATGATGGTGAAACTCATGGTGAAAATGATGGTTAAAAAAAATCTAGGTCAATCTTACATGGATACAAACTAATCCTAACCAGTCTTTTGGTACCAATGGGAATATCTACGTTCACCAGCAAAGAATTTGTCATTTTTTGCAGGGTATCTGGCTGATTGGCAACCAGTATTGGTCAATACTGGTTGAGAATGTGGCTTGAGAATGGCCGACCACCGTTAACAGTGGTTAATATGATGGTTAATATGATGGTTAATATGATGGTTAATATGATGGTTAATATGATGGTTAATAGGGGCTTGACAATGGCTAATCATGGCTTCTAGTGGTCAATGGTTAATGGTTGACAATGGTGAAATAATGGTAAAATCTAATCCTAAGATCGGTGAATCATGGTTTTTATGGGTAAATCCCTAAGTTTTGCATCAATTTTTGTGGCTTGCGACCATATAAGAAATGGGGTTCATGATTGGGCCCACTACTTAAGTGCGCGGATGCTCCTTGTGGTAACGATGGAAAAACGAGGGATCCAGACAAGGACATCATTGGATGCTGCTCCCCGGAAAGTGCAGGAATGCGGAGGATACCTTGGGAGAAAGAGAGTAGCAAACAGCTTTTTATCGGGTCCGGCTAGATATGGCCAATTTGCATATCCTGGCTATCCTGGCTGACAAAAATGAGCAGCCTAGGGCCTAGAATTACTCCGGTTTCGGGTGTTTCAGCCAGGTTCTGCAGTCCAAAGTGATGATGTTCTCCAATCAGATTGCGGAAATCGTCCGGGCACCGGAGAGTCGTTGATTTGACCAGTTTTCCGATTCGCTGAAGAGTGAGATCAACTCCGTTGAGATGAGATGTTTGGATGGCCTAAAAGCCCTGAAACCATGATTGCCATGGTCAAAAGTCGGATGCGTGTCGAAAGTATTGGGGGATGGTCATCAATCCATGTTTTCATCGTGGGACGTATATCAAAATGGCTAACCAACTGTACAGTACCTGGATAGGGTTTTGCTCCGCAACCAAATGGGTCTGGAAATGGAGGATACCCAAAGTGGCTGTTTGAATGGGTAAAATGATGAGACACATTGGTACACCCTGGGATTTTTGGGGGCTATATATATATAATATTTATTCAAACAACCTCAAACATTCAAAATGACTGACTCTTCAACAATTTCATGCTTTGATCCCAGAACATCACCGGCTGCCTCAAGGTCCACGGCGTGTGCAACGAGTTTCATGGCGTGCGGGGTCCTGGTAAAATGGAGGTGGACGATATAAGGCCATATTTTGTGGGGATATTTCCTGAAAATTTGCCCTGACATTTAGGCCTTACTGTATATATGGTAGGTACCTCTAATTTGAAGTCGACATTGAATTAATGGTGGAATAGTATGAAATGGTGAAACTCAGATCAAAGTCAGAGATTGTTTTGAAAACTTATGGATAGAGGTGAGTTGAGCTCGTAGCTCATGTTGGACCCAAAGTGTCCAATGGGATCAAGCTGAACATCTGAACCCGTCTGAACCCCAAGGCCCCGAACAAAAACACTGGGGAGACTTTCCTGGTGATTTGGAAGCAGAGCGAGGATTCAGGTGTGGTTTTTCGTGTGTCACCAAACCCTCCGCAAGTGAATTGTTGGAAAGCAGTGGTATTTTCATGATGAAGCAGTGCTTTATGAGTAAACAGAATGAAATACATTAGTAACTAGATGTAACTAGTATACATTAGTCAGTACTATCATCAGAACATGTTTTCTCTGAATTTCAGATCCGCCAGATTTCCCGAATAGATGTGGTGCCACTGATCTGGGATCAACGCTCGGCCAATGTTGGGAAGCCCCCAAAAAAACCAGAGCTGAAAGAAATCGCAGGAGTTTTTTTGATGGTTCTCACCCAAAAATCATGAAACATTGAGGTTTTACATCTGGTTTTCCCCAAAAAGTCATCGAAGATCTGGCTTTGAACCTTGCAACATCTTGCAACATCTTGCAACATCTTGCAAATTGAACTGGATTTGGGAACACCTTTGAACACAAATGGTTCATCGAGGTTCTTTGAACATTAAGCCACTTTTTTTGGGGATGCTTGAAATCCCACCCATAAATTGGTCATCAATTCGGGTTCATGGGTTGTTTATTAACCAAATCGCAACAAATCGTGAGATCCATGACAAACCAGGTTTTACTAGCTGTACTCTAGGTATTATGTTAGTTCTACTCCAGTCATACGGAGGTTTTCCTAAAATAAAAATACGGGTCTCCAAATCATCCTCCATTGTTAGATAGATTTTCCATGATTTTCCATTATAAACCATCCAGCGGGGGGGATGCCCCATTTATGGCCAGGGCTGGACAGCGAAGCGCTCATGGCGAAGTTCGCGGAAGGACCGCGGGATCATAATCCCGTTGGTAAAATGGAGGTGTCAGCGGGATCGAACTCAATGGATAAATCATAATCAATCCATTGGCAGGTCAACCATCAAACACCACAGAGCCATTGAAACCATTTAAAAATTGGAGATATAACCATCAAAATTGTGGTGTTTATCTGTTTATCCCCATAGTCTGGATGAATAAGGACCTCACGTCGCGACGTTTCTCTGGAATGGTGGGAATTGCAAGGGTTTCGAATCCCGAAATGGGACCGTCAGGTTGGTGAATGATCATATCCACCATCGACATTCAAAAGTCTCGGGGTAATTCATGGGAGTACCGATGATACCATCTTTTGGATTGTTTTTTTTTTTTCCGGGACATTTTTTAAAAAAATACAGGAATTCTCATGATCTTCATGGTAAAAACGTGGTAAAAAACCCATGGTTTCTGGCACGGTGAAGATTTCCCCAAGACATCCACCGACAGGTTCCATCGTCTCCTCTGCGGCGGTGATCGGTGCCGTGCACCGCTCGTGACGACCTCAACGTGACGTGTGAAACTGGGGAACTATCCCAAGAAAGAGCCTTCTTTCAGGTTAAATTAGTATCAATTATTCAGGGAGAGTTTTTTTTTTTTTTAATGGGGTTTTGAATGGGATTGAAATATTGATGATCAGTTACTTGTCATGTTTGCTGATTGGAGGGTAAGTAGCTGATCAATACTACTGTTTGTCGTGGTTAAACCACCATTTTCGTCATGGCCAACGATTTGAGTAATGTGGTAAACCTGGTTACCCCTGGTAGACCATCCCATGAATACCAACCTTTCAAAAGGGGGTCATGATAGACTTCATCCCATTACTAGAAGTATATGGTATACCCAATGTCACAGATTTCAATCTTGGGGATGGTCTATGATGGGTTTTACCGCATTAAGATGGCTATGGATCAATACCTTGAAATCCACTATTTTTAGGGAGAAGCACATCCAAAAACTACAACAGCTATTTTAAGGGGTGAACAGAAGGAGTACATTTTCTGGCTTTTCGGCTCCGAACCGGAAAAAAATGGCATGTCTGAAAATCGGTTCCCACAATTCGGCCCATCATGGGTTCATTACTATCTGTCCATCAAGATAGCAGGAACTGGTGAGATCTTCACCGCTTTCAGATACCCTCTGGTAATGACTAACAGTTTGCTATTGAAAATGACCCAGTCGAAATAGTGGATTTACCCATTGAAAAATGGTGGTGATTTTCCAGTTCGCTATGTAAATTTACCAGAGGGTACTTTCAGGCCATTGCTGGGAAGTTATAGAGAACATCCCGGTCTTCAGTACCGATTAGGTGCGCGGCTCTGCCCAACGGGAGATGCTGGAGATGGTGGAAAACTGGGATTTGGTAATCATAGGTTTTAATCATTTTTAAACCATCCCCATGTTCTCAATTTGATATGTTCAAACCACCAGCAGCTCTGCATGGTGGAACTTTTTTCAGCACAACTCTTGGACTTCGAGATCTCGATTCGGGTGACTCGACTTGGGTCACTACTGTTTGCTCGACTTGGGAATCCCATCTTTCTTGGTGCAGATCATTTTGAGCCGTGTCCAAACTTCGCATTTGGAACCATTTCCCAACTCCATTTCCTCTGATTTGAATGATTTTTCCAAACTTTACCCTCTGGTAAACATACAAAAAGCTATTGAAAATGGCCATTTATAGTGGATTTTGCCATCAAAAATGGTGATTTTCCAGGTCTTCCCGTGCTCTTGAAAGCCACCTTTTCGATCCCTTGCAACGACCTTCAGGTTCCAAGTGCCGCGTGCACCTGAGCATAGGCCTTCACAAAGGCTGGGCCATTGAGGGTGCTGCCTGGAGCCCCAATGGGCCGAGTGGAGCTGTTTTTTTTTTGTTTTTTTGCTCAACTTTTCCGAGTTTGAAATCAGTTCTGTTCTGGGAGTCCGAATTTCGGAATGTTTTTGAGCTCTAGATGTTTTACGAGTCCAAATTGCTGGACAAAGAATATAAGGTTTTTGTTGGATTAGCCTCGGGCAAATCTATTCCGGCACTGGAAAACAGTTTTTTTTGTAACCACAACTATAGTATAGTAATCCCCAGAAAGAGAACATCACCATGATAGTAGGTTTTACTAAATTCGATCTATTTTGGTGACCAAAACACCAAAAAAAAGTCACTCCAAATTGCTGGGAGACAACTTCAGTGCCATGGTTGGGAGTGACCATTCGACCTGCTCCGACTCCTTAGGTTGGGAGTGAATTCAAAATCGATTGCTCCTACCTGTCGCCCAACGTTTCCATCGCCACATCCATCGAGAGATCCACGGACTGCGCGTTGCTGACACTGAAGATGTTGCTGAAATACCCCATGATAGGGGATGGACATCTATTGGATGATTGGGCAGAAGAGACTCTTCATATAACATATTACATCTACCAAAAAAAGCATATAACATATAATATAATTTAATATAATATAAATGGTATATAGTATGTAATATATGACATATGATATATAATATATACTATGTAATATATGATAAATGATATATATATATATTATATATAATATAATATAATATATGATATGTAATCTATAATATGTAATATATGATATATGATCTATAATATGATATGATATATTATAATATGACATGATATATTATAATATAATATAATATGATATAATATAATATATATATATATATTATAGTATATAGTATATGATAAAACATTGATGATATATAATGTATAATATATGATATAACGTTTCTAATATGTAATTAAAATAATATATTTGATATATAATATATAATATCACATATTTGATATATCATAGATAATATATAAAATATAATATATGATATATATATATAATATAATATAACATATATGATGTATAGTATATAGTATATACTATATACAATATATAATATGTACAATATATAACATATGATATATAATATATAATACACAATATATATAATATATAATATATATAACATATAATGTAATGTATACTATATTATACATAACATTTTATATATAATATAATATATTATATATAACATATAATATGTATTATATAATATATAACATATAATATGTATTATATAATATGTCATATACATTATGTAAGGTATACTATATAATATATAATATACACTATATACTATATACTATATAATATACAATATACTACATAATTAATTATATAACATGTGACATGTAACATATAACATAAATAATATAACATGTATAATACATACTTAAACATATAACATGTAACATATCACATATATAATATATGATATATAACACATAATTAGATATATAAGATATAACATATAACATATAACATATATATATAATACATAATATATGATTTTAAATATACAATATATAAAATATTATATATAATATATAACATATAATATATGAACATATAAAACATAAAATATTAATACATAATACATGTGTATATGCATACATGAGGAATCCAAAAAAACGAACCAGCCATATCCTTTAGGCGCATTTACCAGTGTATTTGTCGCCAGCTCAAATTCTGGTGCGCCCCTTAAAATTGGAGACTTGAGCAAAAACATCTTGGGTTTCTCCAGTATGAAGGACTGGCGTGGAGACATTGACATTTGCATTGTTATTGTACATTTTTGCTGCTGATGATGACGAAGATAAAGCGGCAGGAAGGAGAACCATGAAAGGGTAAGAAAAACATATGAAAACAATATGAATAAGCTGAACGCTTCTTCACGCCAGGAAGTCTACAATGTCTCCGTGATTGTGGCTCAATCGGTGTGGCTGCACAGCCTGGTTCACCATGGCCACCAGTCACCGCGATGATTCTGAGCAAATTTCTCTAGGAACCTCTGATTTTGGTGATGTGTGAAGAATCTTGAAGGGGTCCAGAACTGATTTTTGTTGCTGAAATCCTTTATTGTTGTTGCTCAAGTCCCCAATTTTCTTATTGGTAAGTTGAACCCACCCCATATATACTGAGTCTGAAATACTACTTGGCGTATATTGCACCTCCCAGAATAAAACACTGTATAAGTAGTTTCTTTTGGTACACTAACTCAACTTAGTGTATGTTTAACACTTTTTTTAAGTAGTTTCTTTTGGTACACTAACTCAACTTAGTTTTTTTGGTTTAAGAACTACCTGGGTGCATTTTTTCACTTTGTGTATCATGCAGTTTTGGATGTTTTGCTTCGACTCTGCCCCGATGAGTCGTCGCGAGGTCATCGATCTGGTGTCGTATAACATGCGGCAGCTTGGCGGTAGGAGAGATCGTTTGGATTAACCCGGGGATAAAAAAAGGTCTGGATTTTTGGGTCACGAATTGAATTATCTAACGAATTTCATTGAATCTTCATTGAATTATCTAGAATCTAAATCTTTCGCATCTTTTGGCACAGTTTTGGTCATCCCATTTTAGGTGATCCACTTAGCCATACCCAAATGATTGCTAGAAGGGAAACACGGGGCTGGCCCTTCATTTCACAAGGACCAGTTGGGAGAGTTGGGAGATGAACATGGGGGTCTCACAATTGGGGATGGTCATGGTCCATTTTGATATTCTGATATTCTATGTGCGGTGTGGATCAAGAAGCATGGCTCGTTCAATGGTGCCCGAAGCCTGGCTTGTATGTTTCATGGACCGATTTTCTGGAGTTTGCTCAGGGTTCGAAAACGGTCTTGACGCGTACAAGTCAAGCATTTGATGGTCTCTTTCATGACGATTTTCTGGAGTTTCCTCAGGGTCGAAAACGGTTTTGTCTCGAAGATGGCAAGTTGAGTCCCTGAGTCCCTGTTATTCTCCCAGACCTTACCAAAAATCAGGTGTCAGCTCAGACTGATCGACCGGGTAGTCATTAGAGGTGCCAACTGTAAGTGGCAGAGGGTTGGGAGCATGAAATCCATTGAGTTTATTGTTATTACCATTTATTTGTTACGGTTTATTTATTACTATTATTACAATTCTTATTTATTGTTTATCAGTACTGATTAATAATTTATTACTGTTGTTATTATTACAATGATCATCATTATTACTATAGTTTTCCTGCTGGGGTGCAATCTTAGATCCACGCTTGATCTGAATCGGTTGGAGCCCAAAGGCCGCTTTGCGAGTCTCAAGTGGTGAATCCACATGACGCCTGCAGCTGTAACATCTACCCTCTGGTAAACTGTTACATAACTATGGAAAATCACCATTTTTTTATGGGAAAACTCACTATTTCTATGGCCATTTTCAATAGCTATGTTAAATTACCAGAGGGTACCCTCCGAAACTACAGCCTGCCAATGGGGGCTCAACGAATTGTCAGGTGAGTGTTGGTTGGTCTCTGCATTTTCGTATCACATTTCGGGTCTTTTTTCGTGCCATGGATACCACAAAGTTCTTTCCAGCTTGATCTCAGGTTTTGGATTTCTGATTAAATTTTTTATGTCAAGCCTGGATTTCTATGGGATTTCTATGGGATTTCTATGGGATTTCTGTGGGATTTCTATCGAATTTCTATGGGATTTCTATCGGATATTTTATACCACCCGGGAAGGCTCTCCGGCTCCCATGGAGCTGTACTGTGTGGATCTGGACTACATGAGTTTCTTGGAGCAAGGGAGGCGGCGCTGATTCGGGCATTCGAGAAATCCACTGGTGCTGGTGAAAGCTGGTGAACATGGTGGCTCTATAACATGTTGCATGGAGGATTTTGTTGTTGTTGTTGTTGTTGTTTTTCCAATTTATTTAAAACGCATTGTGTGTGTTGCAAACATAGCATGCGACTCGTCTAACAGCTCATGATCCTGGTCGTTTTTTTTTCGTTGTCCGAGTAGCTCCGATTCAGGAATTACATGAATATAATGGCCATTTATAGTGGATTTTCCCATTAAAAATGGTGATTTTCTATAGTTATGTTAGTTTGGAGGGTATGTATGTATCAATCCATCCATGCATCCATGCATCCCTTCATCCATCCATATATCTATGGATTGATGGATAGGTAGATAAATAGATAGATATAGATAGATTCAGATAGATGTTTATTTAGAGCCACCTTTCCCAACACCCATCGTTTTTTTTTGCAGAACAGCACCACCAAGGCATAGAGCTGGATCTCACCCTTCGCCCAAAGGCAGATGCGCTTAGCAAAGCGCAAGCGCCAGATGGGGATGTTTTAAGGGACACATATATATGGCTATGGATGAATAATGTGTCCCATTAATATCATCATATATCATCCATATAATATCCCCAATGCTGATGTTTTTTTTCCTTTTCAAACGGGTTGCAAAAACGTGAACAGCATATTTTATGGGGATATAATATGATATCATGCTGATGGTGAATGGGGATATCGTGAGAATGACAGCTGGTTACAGCAGCTATCCAGTGGTGAACGGAGCGTGAACGGAGCTGTGGCAGCTCGTAGTCAACGAGAATTTCCATGCTGGGACCCATCCGAAAAGGTTGAAGATTGGTGATTTACTCATGATTTAGGATGCACATGTTTACTGTACCCCAAATTTGGGAATGAAGAATTCTGAATTTCACGAAACGGACGGTGAAGAAATTACCCGTGAAGTTTTGGGTTTGTCTGAAAATGTGGTACCTCTAAATTTGATAGTTAATCATAACTTTCTCCTTACCCTCTGGTAATTTAACATAGCTATGGAAAATCACAATTTTTAATGGGAAAATCCACTATAAATGGTGATTTTCCATAGTTATGTTAGTTTACCAGAGGGTAAACATTTGGGGGTGAATCCCATGTTTTCAGGTCCACAGCCGTATGTTTATCCCAGTCGTGTTGATTGCGTATGTAAAAATCCCCATGTGTATAGGGATACTGTCACACCTAATTTTTTGGATTCTACTGCTGAGGGTTTTTTTCTACAAGGTGAGGCCTTGAAACCGCAGCTAAAATGGTTTACAGCTAGGTAAACTGTGGTTAGTAGATATATATATATATATCATGGATATGTTTCATGATATATCAAACTAGTGAAAATGGATGTTGGGCTTATATAGCAATTTTCGTATCACTGGTTTTTTCACTATTCAGATCCTTTCGGGTTTGTCCACGGTTGCAGGTGCCCTGGAACACCAGGCAACGCTTCAAGGTGCCGTTGTTTACCATCTGGTTATGACTAACATAGCCATGGTATAGATGGCCCATAGAAATAGATGGTTCACCTATTAAACATGGTGGATCTTTCCATGGCTATGTTAGTCATAACCAGATGGTAATTTTTTGGATGTGTATATACATTCATATATAAATATATAGATGTATGCGTGTATATGTGTATATGTGTATATATGTGTATACTACTAAACTACTAAAGCAACCAATCTATTTATGATTTTTGCAGCGCATCTAACGCGGAAAAAATTGGGCTCCTGCGAGGTGCGACAGTGGATGGAACAAGAAAAGAATGCCGTGCTGCAGAAGGACCGTTTTAAGATCCTCCGTTTGGTTCGAGGGAATGCTGAGGGAATGCCCCAAAATTTTCCCATGGAAGTTTTCGACCCCAAAAAGATAGGTCACACCTATTTCACTAAACTTTTAGATGCAGACACGGATTTTTAGCTTCGGGTCTTTTTGGGTCTTGCTATATTTATAACTATTTATGTATATCAATGGCTTTTCCAAGGATTTCCATTGCCAGCTGCTGAGGCCAGGTCTATCTCCATCTTTGTCACTTGGGTTTGTCTGAAACTCTTGGGAGATCCACAAAAAGAATACCTGAATTTGCTGGTGCATCATTATTTTCCGAACATAGTCATTTGGAAGGGTTAGATTGTTAGATGCCCCATTTTCAGACCCACTTCAATCGGTTGCTGAGGCCTCCGGTTCAAGAGCCCTTTTGGGATGGTAGCTATGCCCTTCCCACAGATCTCAGTCCGACAGTCCCATGGGTCTGAGATCCTGATGGTCTTCCGCAGGACCTTGCAGAGGTTTTTGAGACTGATGAAGTTGCAGCCTGAGCTTCGAGCTTCATCGAGCCAAAAAGAAATGCCTTTGGTGAAGAAAATCAACCATGGCAAGAAAAGGGATGCACATTTTTTGGGCGGTTACTGCAGATTTCGGTTTGTATTTTCTGATGCCAGGTATCCCTTGTTTTCTTTTCATGTCACTTTTTAAGGGAGACGTTCGTTTCGGGGGTAACATCACCGGTTAACGAGTCGTTTAACGGACGCCCATGGATTGGTTGCTATCGAGGTGATAGCTCAAATGCGTGAATGCTTCACAGCACCTTGGTTGGAGCAACGGGAATAGCCACGGCTTGACGCTGCAAACAGCTGGCTGATTTTTACCGTAGGTCTGTAGGTGCTTGTAGGTGCTTTCCCGAAAAACTCAAGGTGCTTCCAAAAATGAAAACAGATATTTTCGTGGTGTAAGAACTTGTTCGTGGAATAGTTTGACTTTTTTCCATCCCATTTACTCGTCTCTTTTAGCATGTTTGAAACCACCAACCAGAGAATGTCGCTTTATTTTCAGAAGAATTGGACGTTTCGATGTTTTTCTCAGGTGGAGTTTTTCCAACTCTTCAACATGGGCTACCAGAATTACTCTCAAGGAGAGTGGCAGGTGGCACGGCGGATGCTGTTGGGGTCCCAAGTCGTCGCCTCCCTTTTGATCTTCGGGGTATCAGGAGTAACCATGGCTGGCTCAAGAATGATTTGCCCCCCAAAATTGGATGGTTACGCACATTGCAATCTCCAAAGAGATGTAGAAAAGTATCAAGTTCTTCCAAATCGTGATTAAATAATATCTATCTATCTATCTATCTAACTAATCTATCTATCTATCTATCGATCTATCTATCTATCTATCTATCTATATATATATATATATATATATACATATGTATAATTTTTCTATCCCTCAGGGTTTACTGTGTATGCTTTCTTTTCATCGGATGGCCTAGAAACTAACCATCAAGCAGCAAATTTTGGATCCAACGACAGCCGCTTCCGAGGATGGAAATCAAAAGCCGCCTGGCGCCCGATGACGGTCCCAGTAGCGCGTTGCTGAAGTTTATGGAGGCGCCCTTTGCGCGATGGGGATATATTGGGATATTATTGGGATATATTGGCAATTATAGATATTGGGCCATGATTTTTGGGATGTTTTGATGGAAGTTTTGATGGGATGTGGAAAAGAAAAAAGGCTTGGATCATTGGGGGACAAGATTCGATGATATGGGATGTTTTGATGGTGCTTTTCTATGTCATTGCTATGGATTTATGGGAGAACGCTTTGTACGGCCATGGCCTGATGGCCTGATGAGTTGGATGAAGCAAACATGGACAAAACGGGGAATTCATCACCATTCCATCGTTGGGGGGTTAGTTTACTAGGGAACTTAACTGAAATAGTCCATTACTGTAAGTCCTCCATTTGTTGATAGTTAAACATAGTTCAACCACTTGATATTTTCCATTTGAAATCCCCGTGAAGTCCTAGCACAGGCTGTCACAGGTTACCATGATTTTGCAACGCGGTGGATCTTGAGATTTTTCACCAATCCTCTGATTGGATCCTCTGTTTTTGCCACGTGGCAACGGGGTAGGAAGATTGGAACAGTGGCTTGGTAGATCCATAACTTTGACATCCTGCGCACGGGCAAATCTATACGTCTATATTAATATATATATATATGTATAGCTAGATCTATATCTGTGACTAGATCCATATCTAGATGTATCTGCATACAATTCAACGTCTATTCTATATCTAATCCATATCTATTGTATATATATATATACACAATATTCTATCTTTGTCTGCATCCATGATTATACCCATATCTGTCTATACTATAGCCATATGTAAAACTAATATCTGTATTATATCTATCTCTACGGAGTCTCTACCTATATCTCTACATATATCTCTAGCTATATCCCCAGCTATCTCTACCTAGTACCTAGCCTATATCTCCGAATTTCTTTATCCATATATCTATACCTAGATCTATACACATATCTAGGTCTATCTATAGTCATTCTGGAGTAGATGGAAAAGATGGAAATTGGCAATTTCAAGTCATCTCCCCAAAACGGGGATCATGGAACATCCCATATACCCCAGGAGGATTGTGTATCTAGCAAAATCCCTTCCTCGAAATCATCCAATCCCTTCCTAGCGCCAGTTCCCCCACGACTTTGATGCGCCCACAGAGTGGATGGGCGTGCGAGATCTGGTCCGGCAGCTCGGGGATCAACCTGGGAATTCTTGTCATGGGCGAAATCCTATCACTGACGAAATTTTTGATGGGTGGGGATTTTGTTATGGAAATCTCAGCAATTGATTGGGATATTTCATGAGTTAGGGCAGTTAGGGCTAGTTATTTCACAGAAAGAGGGGGTCTTTATTAAGAGTCTTTATGGATTTGGATCATGAAACCACCAACTGTCAACTGGGAGAACCAATCCACAAGACCTGTTTTGGGGAAGTTTTTTGACTGATACTCGGCCTCATGTGCGAGAGAAAAGACTCCATTGGTCCTCAAATCCAGAACCTGCCAGCTCTTGTCACAGACCGTCCCTTTTTCTATGCATGTGTGATTGCCAGAACTGTCTGATAATTTTTGATTGGTTAAATCAATTTGATCAAATCAAACTTTTCATTGGTTCTGTTCAATCACCCATAATTACCATCACCCATATTCACCAATCTTTTTTTGGATTTCATGGATAACCCCCAAAAACCTCATCCTGATGCACCAGGTGGGCTACTGAACTAGGTCCGCTTGGAGCGGGACCCTTGGGATTTCAGCCATTTCAGCAACGGTGGACCGGATTTCATCAACAAAACCAGGTTTTTTTTGAGTGAAACGATTTCACAGCCCAAGGGGACTTGGAACTCTTGGAGAATTCTTTCCGGGTTTTCCCGGGATGATGCTTGAAAAATATCTAAGTTTCCTGGAAACAAATCTAGGACCCTGGAACAAAAACCAAATTTTACTGGAAAAATAAATTTTACTGGAAAAAAAAAATAAGGTTCTCCTGATCCTTTGGTGCCCTGGTCCTCTGGTCCTCTGGTCATCTGGTCCCTGGGTCCTCTTGATCCCCTGGTCCCTTATCCTCCTCATCCTGATCCTTTACCCTTCTCATCCTTTGATCTCCGGAACTGACCCTATATAAGCCCGAAAGCAACCTTGAATAGCCACAAACCAACCCTCAATAAAAACTAAACCAACCGTCCTACATAAACATCCCTAAAACGGACTGAAAGAAGCACCAAAAAAGCATCCGAACAACTCCAATTATGCCCTAAAATGACACCTAAAAACCTGAACCCAAACTAAATAAACCTTAAAACACAATCAAACAAGCACCAAACCGACCATAATTCGGCACTACATAAACAAAAAAAAATCACCAAAAGAACCAAATAAACCCAAATTAAGTCTTAAATGATGCAATCCAAATAAACCATCAGCAAAGCCCAAATAAACCATAATATTAAGCCCTAACAGCACTAAACAAACCCATGGACTACATAACAAAAACCGAAATAGACTTTAAAACTACCCCCCAAACAGAGTCTAAACCAACATTCACATAGATCCTAAACCAACCCGAAAGAAGCACCGAACCGGCACTAAATTCACACTACAACAACTTTAAATCGACACCAAACAAACACCAAGCCAACCCCAAATCAACACTAAATAAAGCACAAGCCGAAGTAAACTCTAAAGGAAACTTAAATCAACTAAATCTAAACCGTAAAACAATTAAAAAAACACACGCCCAAACTAACCGTACAGAAAACCTAAAATCAACCAGAAATAATCCCCAAATACACCATAACCAACCTGAAATAGATCCAACAACTAACTCTAGACAGTATGTTGCGAACAACACGAAATGCTGCAGATAATTTCCTGCGTAGCACAGATGCTGGCTCCAAGATGCTGCGAGCACGGTGCAAACAAGGGATTCAGGGTCAAAACGCTTTAAATACCATGCAAATTGCATAATTAAGTTCCAAAACCCTGCACATATTGTACAAATAAGAGATTTCAGCTGCACATAAAATTTAGATATTCAAGACCAAAACGCTTCAAATATCATGCAATTGCATGTTTAAGTGCCCAAACTTTGCACATATTGTACAAATAAGAGATTTCAGCTGTAAAAACGTTCAAAGTACAGATTCTTATTTTTACTTTTTCCAGTGTCTTAAGTTTTTTTTTCCAGTGTGGAGAATAAAGGTGAAGCCTTTTTTTTTTTCCAGTAGTCAACAGTTTTTTTTTCCAGTGTCTACCCGGTTTTCCCAGCATTTTCCCCAGGTTTTCCCCAGGTTCTACCGCGGTTCGCACCTGTGTTTGAGGTCACCTTTCGGCGAAGGTTACGACCTGCCTGCAAAAGGTGACCTGAGCTGACCTGGTGCGCCGTATGTCACTGGCAGGGGTCATTTTCTCCGAAATCGATGGAATCCACAGCTGGGTTCAAGAAATGATGTTTTTTTTTGGGTTTTTTACCCCCTTTTGATCTCATGACATGATCCAAAATTGGACATCTAATGGGTACATATAAATAATATGTGTATATACATACGTATAGGATATCAAGAATATGATCTGGCTTTGTGGAAAGATGGCTTTGGCAAACTTTTCCAGGAGAAATGTGGATCCACCATGAGCTTTTGGGGTGTGGGTCAAAATCTTTGATTCACCAAAGGAATGGGACAGACTGGGACAGAAGATCGAAACTGAGGAGTTATGGGACAATCGAAGGGAACTTTGTTTGCAGATCTAGGGCTAGCAATTAATAGGTAAATAATTTCCATAGCGAAAATCACCAGTTTGAATGGGTAAATCATCATGTATCATGTATGAATGGGCAATTTTCCATCGCAAACTGTTCAATTTGAAACATGATACATACTATAAGAAACCAATTTTTACCATGTAATCATATAATGGTGTTGCAAATTTTGACAGGGCACGAAAAACTGATCTTCCACCACCTTCCATTTCGGTGGCACGTCAACTGGAAGGCATCTTCCGGAACTGATTTGAGATATTCTTGAATTGCACCATTACACCCTACTGTAACTGTGAGACCTTTTTTTTCGGAACCTCCACATTTTTCAGCAGGGTGGTTCAACCACCAGCCGTTCTGTATTTTTACTTAAATGCTTCCGAACTAAACCAGCCGGGAGTCAACACGAATCTGTGGGTTTTAGATTTGCGATATACATGTGAACAGCATTTGTGGCGTTGAGAATAGCAATACACATATGTACATAACATACGCATATTATGCGTACAACTATATATATATGTATATGATATATACATGTATATATAACACATGTATATTCACAGCATTTGCCATGACAAAATGACCTCTGTGTAATGCTAGGATTGCCTCCTTAAAGGAGGGTCAATTCGCGTCCACAATGACCTCCTTTTTTTGCGCGCGACTCGTGCGGAATGGGGAAAAAAATGCGGCGGACAGTGATGGGAATCCGCCAGATTCTTGACAAAAATCTCCCTTTGTTCTAGAAACTACTGTGGTTTAGCCTTGGTTCTATTCATGAATTGGGGTACCATATATGTATATATACATATATATATATACATACATACATACATACATATATATATATACATATATATATATATATATACTGTGATTTTCCTGATAAACCTTGAGGTAACCACTTACATGTCTTGGAAGGGCCATTCAACGAGTTGAATCCATGTGGATAACTTTGACTTTGCATCGACCGTCCGATGCTTTACTAGTGGCTCAGGGCAGCCATCAGGAAAGGGCTGAGGGCTTAGGTGGCCTTCCTTCTTAGGTGTGATTTGTGCTCGTGGCCGAGCCATTGCGGAAAACAGTGCGAGCGTGGACGCTTGCGATTCGATTGAGATCAGGGAGTCTTTCAGAACTTGATTGCCGAATTCATCTTGCTACCAGTGTGGGTGAAACCACATTGGTAGCGGAGCTACCACCAACCAGCTCCGTGCCAAGCTTCTTTGCCCAGGGGGCCCATTTGCGAAGGTACTGTTAGCTGTAAGTTGGAGATCCAGGATGCCTGATTCAGAACCAGGCAGTGGCATGGCCTCCGGGGAGACAGTTTCCACCACTAGCTCCTTGTCGCATTTGCCATGGAACATGATTCCTCAGTTTGATCCCGGAGTCACCGAGATCAATGAATATACCAAGAAGGTTGAATCTCTCTCAAGTTTGTGGCCTGAAGAACATTTGCATCTGTTGGCCCCTCGTGTCGCGATGAACTGCAGAGGAAGTGCTTTTCAGCGGGTCATGCGGATCCCTCCAGAGAAACTGAAGGCCTCAGGTGTTCAAGGTGTCAAAGCTGTAATAGCTGCTCTCGGTGGAGTTTGGGGAAAGGCTCAACATGAGAACAAGTTTGAGAAATTTGAGCGCGCCATATTTTCCACTCAACAGAAGCCTGACGAGACTCACGAGAGTTACCTTGCCCGCCACGATCACCATTTTGAAGAGATGCTGAGTATGGGAACTAAACTGGAAGAAGTTCGATCTTACTGTTTGCTGAGAAACTCAGGGTTGACTCAAGAGGACAAGAAACGCATTATCATTGACAGTCAGGGTCAGCTGGAACACGACAAAGTTCTCTCAGCCATGAAAATGTTAGGGTCTCGATTCTTTCAGGAAGTTCAGGGAACCGTGAAGAACACTCAGCGTAGCAAAACCTATGACATCAACACAGTCATGGACGAAGAACCTAGCACAGCTTCCATGGAGGACGACCAGATCTTCGTGGGAGAGGCCTGGGATGACAGTGACTATTTTGATGAGAATGATCCGGATGCAGTCATTTGTTTTCAGTTTGAAGAGAGTTTGGTGGAAGCTCTCCAAACCGATGGAGAAATTGCTGCATGTTACAATACCTATTTAGATGCCAGAAAGAGATTGACAGACAGAAACAAAAATCGTGGTTTTTGGAGCAGTGGAAGTAGCAAGGGTTCCTTCGTTCAAGGGCCGTGGAAAGTCCAAGGGTAAGTTCAGCGGCCGCATGAGGAAACCCTTGGCTCAAGGAATCCTTGAGTCAGAGTGCAGAAGGTGTGGACAACGAGGTCATTGGAAGGCTGAATGTCCGTTAGCCAAGACTGCCAGCACTAATGCCACGATGACTACCACCAAAGAGCCTGCTGCTTTTGCTGGTACCACCATGACCATGACCTCCTCCGATGCCGATGAAGATATGATCTTGCTGAGTTCAATGCCGGAGGTGCCTCACTGCCGAAAGATTTTTTTTCCTCACCCCGAAGTAGCAGATGTTTTTATGTGTCAGGAACATAACTCATGTCAGAAGTCGGAACTGCCAAGTCATGTGCTAAGTAAACCACTCATGTCCAGGTTCCTGCAATCGATGAAAGCCAGACTGAGCCCTCAGCCCATGAAACCTAAGATTCCGATGAGTGTGACTCGTGACGAGTCCCATGCCGAGTGTATGTTCGTGAGTCATGGTCCTTTCGGAATAGTTGATCTTGGAGCTAGTCAGACTGTGATAGGGAGTCATCAAGTCCAAGAACTCCTTAACCACTTTCCCGTGAAGATTCGCAAAGCTGTCCGAAAGGTGCCATGTAGAACAGTTTTCAGGTTTGGCAACAGTAGCACAGTGCAGAGCGACCATGCCATCCTTGTGCCATTGAAGCAGTGGTATGTCCGAATTTGTGTAGTGCCTTCACAGACACCATTTCTGATATCCAATAATGTCTTCCGCACTTTGGGTGCCAAGATTGACACTGCTCATGACACAGTAGAGTTTTCACGCCTCGGACTTCAGATGCCTTTGGAACTGTCTGAAAAACGACTGTATCTGCTGGATTTCTGCGCTTTAGTCAGGCAGAGTGCAGACACCATTCATGAATCACTGGAAGAACGTCCAATCATGCATGCAGCCAGCCAAGAAGTTGATGCCTCACCATGTCCAGGTGGTGATCAGCAGTGCCAGTCCGAGAGGTTTTTGAACTCAAGCCCGGTGGACCCTTGCTCAACGCCTGTGTCTCATCATGTCGATGTCCAAGAGCAGTGCAAGCAGCCTTGCCGATCGCTTGCAAGCAGTGACACACCACCGTGTCACCGACGATTTCATGAAGATGTCGTACGACCAGATGTCGCAGCTTCGGATCACCTTCGGAGAGACAAAGTTGAACCAGAAGTACATCGAAGTTCTGGAGACCGATCCGAAATACGCCCAATGGTTTGCCAGGAAGTATGCCGGAAGTCAGAAACCGGGCCACCAGTCTTTCCTGTACTTCATGAATCTCTATGTGGAGCGTCTGGAATTGAACCAAGAGAAGTTTCCAGAAGCACGATCCAAGAGCAAAGCCAAGAAACCAGAGACAGTCCCATCCGAAGTGGGCAGTCATGCCAGTTGGTCGGATGCCGAGCTGGAACCCTCATGGGGTGTGATGCGAGAAGAAACCTCGGCCCAGCTGCACGAGGAGATCGGAGTGCAGAACCAGCGCATCACGAACATGGAGAACACCCTGACGCAGATTGTGCAGCAGCTTCAGGCATTGACCCAAGCCAGCCTGAAGTAGAGATCCGGCAGACTGATCCTCAGAGTCCTCTGAGCAAGACCAATGAAGATCTCAGATCATACATGTGCGATGAAATAGGCATGCATCAGGTACTCGAACATCCCGAAAATGTGTTGGATCCTACCTATTTCATCAGCAATTTATCCAATGAGATACCTTTTGATAACTGGGTTTACGATGAGATGTGGGAGTATTTTCGTAAGAGTCACCCCACCCTGAATGCTGATGATGTTCATCGACACCTTCGAAAATCCAGAATTCAGGTCTTGGAAGTGTACTGCTCAGAGCAAAGTCAGTTGACCCACCAAGGATCTCAGCTGGGCTTGGTCACTGCACGTTCTGGGTTGCGCCAAGGCGATTTGTCCACCTTCAAGGGTAGATGTGCGTTATATGAAATGATTTGGACTCTTAGGCCCCAACATATATGGGTTTCCCCAAAATGCGGACCGTGGAGCTCTTGGAATCGTTTGAATGCACAGAAATCCTTGAAGCTTGCCGAACAAATTCGGTTGGACCAAATTGCCGAGAATGTGCATTTGCTCGTGTGTGACGCCCTGTTCCGACTGCAAGACTGGAGAAGCGACTGTTGTCATTTCCACTTAGAACAGCCTCAAGGGTCCGAAATGTTGTGGCAGAAGGAAATGAGCAACATTATCCAACACACTTTCCGAGTTTCATGTGACATGTGTGTAGCAGTTCAATTGCGTCACCCAAACAGCCAAGAGCTTCTCCATAAACGTACTCAAGTGTTGACTACTTCGAGAATCATGTGGAGAATGCTTCAAAGATGCCAGTGTGTAGGAGCACATCACCATGATGTCATTGCAGGATCCTGTAAGCCTCACAAAATGCACAGAATGCCGTTAACCCAGTACACTGAACTGTACACAGCCATGTTTG